CAATTAAGAAAGGAGAATTCACAAATACAACTAAATGTTAAGTGTAGAGAAGTGGCTGAAATTCTGCATACTTCATAGTAAATTATGCATGAAAGTTTATTAATTGCATAAACTTCCTGAGTGGCTCCCATGCTGCACTAGGTCTACATGCTTAATATTCATATCAAACAAATTACAGCTTTAAGTGATTGAGCATGACAGACCTTGAACAACTGCACTTTCCGATTAGTCACTATATCTGCTGAGGGTATGTTCTGGACCACAAATCTCAACCTCAAACCTTAAGTTATAGTGGAAAAAGAAATACAACTTAAAAAACTAGAAGGATGACAAGTACACATTTAGAAGTTTATTTTACACTGGCACATTTTTTTTTTTCTCAGAGCCGAGTTTCTATCTTCCCTTCTTGCTTGACTTTTAGCCTTTCTATTTGAGTTTTTTTTTTTTTTTTTTTTTAATTAAAAGAAAACCTTCTAGAATTGGAGCTGGTGGTTTGCACACTTTTCCAGCTATCTCACTTGAAAATAACTTTAGTGTAACCTAGTTACTACCCCAGGCCTTTTCATATGTTGGTTGTCAATGTTCCTGACCAATGTTTGTGTTCATCCTTCTCATAAAAAGACTATTTCCAGGGTGACTTGAAAGCACTTGACTCCATAAAAATTTCATACTTATTCTACTTTAAAGGATCTTACCAAGTTTGAGTGTTACCATTTTATAATCTGGATTTTAAAAAATTTGAATCCTAGAAATTACATTCACCAAATCAAAGGCCTTTTCTGTGCACACACACCCCCTTTTCTAGTTCGTCTTCTAAACATGGGGAGAGAAAACAAATCCCCAATAAAATAACAGATTCAAAAAATAATCTATTCTAAAAAATGGCCTGCATACCACCTCATGGCCCAAGTTTTTCTGAACCAAACAGAAGATGAAGTAACTGAAATCTCAAACTGATGGTAAATATACCTCAGGAATGTAGTTATGCATGATGACTGAAATTACAGTTTTTACTAATATTAAATATGCTGTAGTGTTACACAGTAAACATGTGAAACAAGGAAAATCTGGTTACAAACATTTGCTGAGTTTTTTGGGGAAGAAGGAATGCATCATTTTTATCACTCAGAAAATACAGCAAGGAATAAAGTCAATGCCTCCATAAACTTTAGAGATTGGATAGTTATATACAACCCTTACCACCAATTATAATTCAACTCAAATGCATTCAACCATTGTAAAGTAACAAAATATCACGCAAATACTTGGCAGTACACTAATACGTTAAATGACAGGTCATTGCTGTAGGATTTGTCAAATATTTCACTGTGGTAGTTAAAGCAATTTCAACCCATAGCCCTTTAGGCACAGAGACGAGAAATGCATCTCTAGTAAAAATGCAAAGTTACAGGCACTGGACTAATTTAGGTACTTTTAAACCATTTGTTTATTTTTAAACTAATTCCTACAACTAAGTCCTATATCATCACCATTTAGATTTAGTTTTCTGCTCTCCATCCCCAAATCCCCTAAGCTTATTTCACATAGGCACATGGCTCTCATCACTTAAACACAGATTGGTGGCTGAGTGATGATCTCTCTCATCTCAAACTCATGGTTAGTGCTGGGACAAAGAGGCAAGCCAGATTTATAATCTGAAAGAATACTGAGAATCAAGGCAAAAATGCAAGTTTCACAGGCAGTGTTTACTTGTGCACCCAAAACAGCACTGAAACGAGGTAGATAAACAAAAGTAACTGGATTAGAATTAAATTTGGGGTTCTAAGATGATACATCCATCATACTGTACATAACACTCTAAACTCAATCCAAAAATCACAGCGGAAAAGTGCCTTTTAAACTTTCACAGATAATTTTGCTGTCAAACCATGAGATTTCATGCTTGATATAAAACTGACAAGGAAGGGATGAAAAACAGAATGGATATTTGTTATATTACAGCAAATTACCTTAAATAGAGATTCAAGACTGCTACAAATATACATAGGGTTATTTACTTTAGATTTACACCAATACTGGTTTCATATTCTTATGATCTTACACCCAACTTCACAAACATAGCAGCAGGTACTTCATGATGAAATACTCACATTGCCACATATGGAGATACAGTACTGTTCATCAGACTTGCACTTTGAGAAGTAAACATGGTGGCTGGACATACAGACTATCCCCCCAAATAAACTTTACAAGCACGATGGTTAAGCACAACCTTTTTCTCTTCTACAAGAAAGAAAATGAAAAGGATAGGTTTGTGTGTTTTTGGAAATGAGTAGAAGGCCTTTTTTTATATAGTAGGCTCTTTGTTAAGTAAGAAGGGAATTTCTGAGATTTACCTCAAGAATTAATTATTTCTAGGAAGGAAAAGTACCTCAGGCAAGGATGAAAACAGCACTATTATATGACTTAGTAAAATTATGAAACAATGCAAAACCCCTAGATAGAAAATTAGCCAATATTTACAGTCAAAGTGACTATAATCTCATTTAAGTAATGGGAAATAGTAAATAAAAACCCACAGCGATGTGAATAACATTGTTTTCTTCATTTCTGCACAAACTCACTTTTTTCTGTAGTTTTAAATTTACACTCACATTATATATACACAACGTATATATAACATATATGTTAATCCAGCTACTGCAGTCAGCATGGAGACAGCAGTACACTATTCACCATCTTCAAACTTTAGAAGACTACATTTCTTTCCAGCAAAACCTGAAAAGATTCTAAATATTACAAGGCACTGCAAAAGTCTGCAGGCAAACAAGAATGATGAATTATACATAAAACAGAGGTGGTGACAAAAATGCAGGACATATGATATAGAGCAGCCATTAATAAATGTAATTGTACATGTCATCCACGGATCTTTTTTTTTTTAAATCCTGGGGTACATTGTTTAAAAAGAGAACTAGAGAAGAAGAGGTCTTAAAATCTATAGTACTTTCACTTCATAGGTTGTATGTCTCAATGTAATTACACAAAGCCAACTTTTATAATAAAACACAAATAGTTTTAAAGAATTATGGACTTTAGGAGAACTGTTTTTGTATAAATGGAAAACACTGCAGTATAAGCATTTGCAGTGCACTAATGTCCTAAAATCACTTCAAATTGCAAACCAATACTGTAGAAGAAATTTGTAGACTCTGTAAGTAAGATTTGGAAAGAAATCGTTTCATAAAACATCCTTATCCAAAACAGGATGTTTAATGAAAAGAAACTGACTCTTATCAACAGCAATTCTTAAAATGCTGCCCTAGATACCCCAAGTAATAGTGACAGAATCTTTGTGGTAGTGGGTGTGATCCTCAGGTAACCAAATAAGACACATTTTTATTTTATAAAGGATACTAAATGTTACAAAGTAGACTGTGCCAAAAAAAGAGAGAGAGAGAGAGAGAGAGAGACGTACACCCATTGTTTTTCTCATTACCTGGCAAGCCCATGGGGTACAATTTTTAGAGGATTATGGTGGAAAATCTTAACAGAGATCTTGAGGGAAATTTTGGAATGTTTACCAGTAGACGGAACTCCTAATTAGGTAAAGATGTACTAGAAATGACCTTGAAATCTTTGGAGTGGAAGGTAAATAGTTTGAACATGTATAATTGGGAGTTGAAAATACCATTTAAGAATTTTATTTGGGTTTCACAGACTGAACATTAGGTAACCCTGTGACCAGCCTTTAAAATTATTATATTTAACCTTCTTAAAAACCAAAGGTGTACATTTTGACATTGCCTCCCTTCCTCCTAAAACTGGATAAAACCCAGTAAAGTGCAACTTGACAGTGATCTCTCTCAGATTCTAAAGAGGCTGCCAAACTCATCTAAGATCTAAAATCATCTAAGACGCTATAGATACTAATAAGAAATTATAACAACTAAAAATGGAATCCAAAAAATCTAAGGGCAACTTAAATAGTATTCTTCTAGGGTCTATTATCTCACTGCAGGACAGTGTATACCCTACATCTCTTAGAACCCTGTAAAGCCAGTGTTTCATGTGTAAGTCTCAAAACCTACAAAACCTACTGTGTCAAGTAAATTTCTCTTCAGAAGAATGGATCGCTAGAGGTGTACCTTGAATCCCCTGTTAGGAATACAAGGATTCTCCCTAAATGAGATTCATATCAGCTGCAATATATCCCTTGCGAAAGAATGCAAGCCAAACCAATGCCTCTCAGATGCTCAAAACCAATATAGTGTGCACATGAGAAACAAAGAGATAGCTGCTTTGAATTATTACCGAAATCCTAAAGCAGCTATAATATCTGTAGAATCTAGGAACTGTTACAGTTCTGTTTTTTCCTTTCCCTCCGCCTCACTCAAAACAAGGCTTCACTCCTACTGCTGTGATGACGGGAAGAAAATCACATTAAAAAGGGCTCATGTTCTGTACTGGTTGATAAAGTTAACATAAATTTAAATACCAAAAAATTTCCTGCAGCAAGTTACCCTGCCTTCTGTGAAAGGTAAACCTAAGATAAACACGTGAAGAAACCCACAAGACTCTGGCTATTGGAGGGTCTCACTTCACCCATGCTTGGGGATAATCAATCTAGGTAATTTTTATACATTTTAAAGTAAAATATCCAGCTGCAGATAGCAGCAGTAAAAAATGGGGGCTTCTCAGCAATGCGTGGAAAGTGTCCTGGAAATGGTAATGCTCAGGCTGAGCTTATTAAAGCATTCTGAACGGTATTTTTTTTTTTTTTAAAAATCAAGTATCAAAGAGGATAGGATTGAAGTGAAAAACATTTCTGTGTGCAGTGTACTATGTGCACATTGCACATTTCTACAGAATGATGAGCTATATCAAATACCACATTGGAAAAACAAAAAATACAGTTGAAAGTAAACTCAAATGAGGGAAAATATGGCAGAACCCAAGGAGAAGAAACTTTTATATCTTAGGTGTCCTGAAAATAATTCTGAAAAAAAATCTCCCTTTTCTTCATCATCTACTCTGATTCACTTGGGACCAGGAGGGATTGTAGCAGGATTCTGCACTGGTGGAGCTGGAAATGCCTGCAAATTCATCCCCGGCTGAAACGGTCCCCCAGATTGGGTAGGAATTACTATAGACTGTTGTGTTGTCCCTGAAATTCCTACCCACTGTACTGGATACCCTGCACCCCCCACAGCATTATACTGACAAACATGGGGCATTCCATATGATGATAATGGCCCAGGAAATGAAGGGAGTGGCAGTCCTTGGGGCAAGGAGGTTGGGACAGCTCCACGAATTTGGGACAGAGAAGAAATCCATGTTGATGTGTAGCCCATAGTAGATGGAGTATTCTAAGAAAAAACAAAAGTAAAAACAAAAGATCAGTTTATTTGTTTATATGCTTTTATCAATCTATATTCCTTCCTATTCTTTTTGGCTTACTACTCCTGTTAATACTTGGAGTGGTACCATTTTGGGGAGCAACTTTTCTTCATGCTAAGCATAGTTACATACCTTATTTCGGTTCATCTTCTTAACTGCCCGGCTTTTGCAGGGTAGGCATTTTCAGATGAGGAAACAGAATCTCAAAACTGGTAACTCCAAGCAACAGCACTAAGCATGTTAATAGTGAAGTGGTGACTGGAACACAGTTCCAACTAACTGCAAGGCCCATACTAAATTCCCATTCACAGTTTCCTCACGTTACCACTATCCTTCAATTCTTACTTCCTTTTGTCAGTCCTTAGCATGACTTCATATAGTGCTATAGGTGAGAATAGCCCATCTTACTATATAATTCTTTGGAGACAGGAGCATGGTTAATATAACATAGAAGAAAAACCTAGCATATAGTGGGTGCTCAATAAATTTCGTCTTCCTACCCACTTCTATTCACTATCTTTTTTAAAAAATATTTTTTAGTCATCAATGGACCTTTATTTTATTTATTTATATGTGGTGCTGAGAATTGAACCCAGTGCCTCACACATGTTAGGCAGGTGCTCTACCACTGCACTACAACCCCAGCCCCTCTATTCACTATCTTAAAATCTGATATTTTTGTTATAGAAGACAATGAAATAATTATATTTTTGGCAGTATTAAGAAATATATTCCTGCCTGATTCTTCTTATATTGTATTGTGACTAATTCACATGTATAGAGATTACAGAAATCTCATGCACATGGAAATAATAATTCTATTGGATGTAAGCAATTCTCTTATCAGTCTCATGCTTAGATCTTGTAAACTAAATTATCAATCTAAAACAAAACTTTCAACTGAGAAACTTTCAACTTAGGGTAAAGGGTATTAGTTTAACTCAAAAATGAATGACAGGGGCTGGGGTTGTGGCTCAGCAGTAGAGTGCTTGCCTAGCATGTGCGAGGTGCTGGGTTCAATCCTTAGCATCACATAAAAATAAATAAATAAAATAAAGGTAAAAAAAATGAGGGGCTGGGGTTGTGGCTCAGTGGTAGAGCACTTGCCTAGTATGTGTGGGGGCCCTGGTTTTGATCCTCAGCACCACATTAAAATAAATAAAGAAAATAAAGGTATTGTGTAATAAAAAAGAAATTTAAAAAAATAAAATGAATGACAACATCTTTTGAGGTGAAAAACCATTGATCAGCCATCCCTTGTTTATATCAGTGTTTTCCTTCTGTTAAAGTAAATTTAATGGTTATGCTTCAAAACAGCATATACTGTCTGATCACATTTTTAAAAATATTTTTTTAGTTGTAGATGGATACAATAACTTTATTTTATTTATTTATTTTTTATGTGGTGCTGAGTATGAATCCCAGTGCCTCACATGTGGTAGGAAAGCACTCTACCACTTAGCTATGACCCCAACCCCAACAGTATGATCACATTTTTTATAAAGTTGTTTCCATGCATCCATATTTAGACAGAAAAAAATCTGAAATGATGTTTTAAAGTTGATGACAACTATTTCTAGGTGGTAAGATATGATGATGATATTTTAAAACTTGTACTTTTCTATGGTAAGTATTATTTTATAAGTAATAAAAAGCCTCCATTCACAACGTATTCAGAGGGTCTCTCACTGGCAGTACAAATGCATTTATGTCTTGAAATTTGCCTCTAAAGGCTTACAAATTTTATAATGGTGATACTATCTGTGTGTCAACAGGAGCCAGGAATAAGATGAAAACACAGAGCCTACAAGCAATACATTGCCTACTAGTTTGTAAAATAAAGGATTTTAAAATAGTTTTTTCAAAATTAACAATAAATACATTTTCATACTTTCTTTACTGAACTGTTTAATGATTATATATGCACACATATGCATGTACACAAACATAACACCCACATATATCTCTTTTAATTATGAGGGATGAGATTCTAAGCCTTCATTCATATTTTAACAGATTCAATTATTTTGAAAAAAAAAAGTTACCTTAAAAATTCAAACAGAAAAATTCAAAATAAAATAAGGCCAATATTCCACCATCTAGCATATTCCTCATGGGTTTTCATATTTTTCTATGCATGTAAACGTACCAAATGTGTATGATTTTTTAATAAATTATACTATATATGCTCTTTTATAAGCATGTATTCTTCCCACTGCAGAATACATTATAGACATATTTCTCCATTTTAATTGCATGTACACCTAAGGCCACTGGGTTTCCATTCCATAAACTCAACAAACCTCTTATAATATTTTAGCTTAAGCAGCTTTAAAATTAATTCTAATACCAGACAAAGATAGTTAACTTAATGAGCTTTAAGAATATTGACATGCAACATAGGATAGGTTGCCCTCAAAATGCAAACTCTTCTTGTGGCAGCAGATTGAATTAACACTCATTCCAGATGCTTTCTTTTTTGATGTTTATTTGATTGATTTTAACATAGAATAGCCTAAAAGGATCAGCAAAGTGTGGCCTGCCACTGCTTTTCATACAGCACAATTTAATGGAAAAAGCCAAACCCATTTTTTACATGTTGTATAATGCTGTTTTCGCACTACAACAAACTGGACTTATTGGAACAGCATGGCTTGCAAAACCTAAAATATTGACTAGCTATTCCCCTTATAAAAGCTTGCTGACCCTTGATCTAAAAGATAATTTGCTCAAAGATATGAAAAATCTAGACAAGGTTAAAAGTATCTATGTTTTCAAGTCATATCTCTTTTTCACAGTATCTATAATCATAGGCCTAAGTATATCCACATTTATGATTTTAGTTCTCATAAATAAAGAGGATTCAGTATAAAAAACTTACTTCATATGCCTTGTTCCAGTTTTCTGCCTCTAATTTTTGTTGACTCTGTTTAAGTTGGTTTAAACTTGGCTTAATAAGAGAATTTCCCACTGTTTCCTTTGTCCAGTCATCCACCAGCTTATGTAAGTCATCTGTGAACATCCCTTTTTTACTGGCTGGAGATTGCTGGCACGATGCTGTATTACTTTCTACACATAGTGGATCTGTAAGATAAAACAGAGAAACCATGTAAAGGAATTACAATTAATATAGATAACTTCTTTGGCCAAAAATGCACTTAACAGAACAATACGTGGAACATACCGAATGAACAGACATTTTAGTTTACCTGAGACAGTTCTGATTTAAACATGTTGTCCTGCAGTAATTCACTAACAATACCCCTTTTCACTCTCCAAAATTTCTTATTGTTTAGATCCTGAATTAGAAGATTACCTTAAGTGTACTTCAAGTATAATAAAAAGAATCTCCTTTAAACTTTAATCTTTTTATCAGCTTCCTCAGGTAGATACTTCCTCAGGTAGAAGAGTTAAAAAAGAATCACAGAGCTAGGAGTATAGCTCAGTGGGAGAATGCTTGCTAACATGTGCCAGGCCCTGATTTCAACCCATTGAATAGGGGAAGGGTTGAAGAGGAGAAGGAGGAGAATCACATAACATTAAAAAATGAACCTTGACAGGTACATTGGCACACACCTATAATTCCAGCAGCTAAGGAGACTGAGACAGGAGGATCACGAATTCAAAGCCAGCCTCAGCAACACTGAGGCAGTAAGCAACTCAGTGAGACTCTTTCTGTAAATAAAATACAAAATAGGGCTGGGGATGTGGCTCAGTGGTAGAGTGCCCCTGATATCAATCCCCAGTACCCCCCACCCCAAATAAAAAAATTTTAAAAAGGAACCTTAAGAGCTGGGGATATAGCTCAGTGGTAGAGTACTTGTCTGGCATGCCTCAGGCCCTGGATTAGATTCCCAGCACCATAAAACAAACAAAAACTAAGCTGTGCACGGTGTCACATGCCCTATGATCCAATCCCACTTACTCAGGAGGGTGAGGAAGGAAGATAGCAAGTGGGTATGTATATCAGTGGTAAAGCACCCTGGGTTCACTCCTCATTACCAGGAAAAAAAATTAAGGAACCTTAAATGTATAGCCAAAGCAACTTGTTTTATAATGGGGAAAATAGACCCTGATGAAGTTAAGTGAAAAGCCTAAGTTTTTCCAAGCAATACCCAGCAGAGGTAGGCCTCGGAACTCTAAAGCCTGGGAAAGAAAAATATATCTTTTCAATATACCATACTGACTTTCAACAAGCTTCAGAAAACTAGAATCACATTTCATTTTTGCCAATATTTCTGTTTATGATTAAAATTTTAAAAGAATATCTAGAATAGCAGGAACGAGGACAAAGATGTTTTAATGAACCACATTAGTTCTGGAGTATAAGATGTTCAAATAAATGAAATAAATCAATTACAGATGACTGCATCAGTGCAGTTTCCTAATGTGAACATCACACTAAGTCTTCATAATTTAGTAATATTATTCATGCTTACTAAATCATCCTCATAGAAAAGATTCATAGAGTTCCAACTGCTTTGAGTGATTTGCAAGCCAATGGCTTATAGAGTGAGTCCAAAATCAATTTTAAGAAGTTGAGAAATTTCAGGGCAATAATATTTCTAAGTCCAGGCCCAGTGGTGCACACCTATAATCCCAGAGACTCAGAAGGCTGAGGCAGGAGAATTGCAAGTTTAAGGCCAGACTCAGCAACCTAACAAGACCTTTTCTCAAAAACTTAGTGATGCTATATCGTGTACAGCCAGAGAAATGAAAAGTTGTGCTGCAATTGTGTACAATGATCAAAATGCATTTTATTGTCAATGCAGATTGACTACTTACTAGTTAAAAAGACAAAAATATAACACTGGGTCTAATATGGAAAGGTCACCAAGATAAATTGATAAGTGAAAGAAAGTGTGGAGTAGTGCATATTGTATATCATTTTTGTTTTTTGAAAACAGAAAATAAAATTGGGCGGGGCCTGCAAGTGTAAGTGTAAGAGCGCTTACCTAGCATGCATGAGGTACTGGGTTCAACCCGAGCACCACATAAAAATAAACAAATAAAATAAAGGCATTCTGTCCATCTACAACTACAAATTAAAAAAAAAAAACATTAATAGTTGAAAAAAATTTAAAAAGGGGTGGAGATGGAGCACAGCAGTTAAGTGCACCTGGGTTCAATCCCCAGTACCAAATGAATGAAATGAATGAATGAATGAATGAATGAGACAACCATGGGTTTAATTAAGCAAGCACATGAGCATTTCCTACACATTTGTTATGATCTTTCTTTTCTTAAAAAAATTTAAGACCATTTCTGTACTAAAAGAAAATACAATATAGGAATTCTTCCCATATACAACTAGATTGGCTGTCAGTGATAGCTACTGCACTTGGAGCAAAATAGCCAACATGTATAGGAAAAACTAATAAATCAAAACAAGTATTTAAGTGGAAAGAGCTGGAGTAATACCACTCCTAAATAGGCAACTGAAATCTCTATACATACATCTGCAAACACACACACCAAGAACCATTATTATATAAGAAAAAAATTCTATATGAATGTTATTTGGTGTCTAGCTATGCTTTCCATATGGTAGGAAATTTATTTATTGATTTTACTATTCATATCATACTATAAAAGACCACTTAAACTTTAAAAGCCAGGAAATACCTGATCAATGCACAGTAAAAACAAGTTTTCTGCAAATAGTTTATGGTAGGTGGTAGCAACATTACTTATGAACTCCAAAGGTACTCTTTAATATTCATTTCTTATTGATGAAATGAATAAAACAAGAGTTCAATCTTTGTTGCTTTTTTTTTAGAACTTCTCCTAAGACAATGCCTATACTCAGATAGTTTTGATGATTATTAACCTACTGCAAATGTTTCTATTTCTAATCTGAAACCCAGATTTCTCTCTGCAATTCCAAGCTCACACCCAACTCCTACCTGGAATTTAAGGAATAATTCAATATACCTAGAATCAAAATTCTCATGGTCCTGGATATGACACTTCACCAATATGTCACATTTCTGTTAAAGATACCAAATTTTCTTCAAATAACCCAGACAGAGATCCTTTAGATCTCCTAAACACCCACACACATATCTACTCCACCACTACAGTATAGCAATTCATCCTATATAACATCTCTTCTAGTTTCATTTCCATAATTCTCTAAACTCTTAATCATTTCATGTATGTTGTACTATGATTACAATGACGTAAATGAACTCACTTCCTGGTTCTAGTCAATATATTCTTCACATTGCCACCAGATTAGCATTAGTTAAATGTGGTTTTCAGTATTCTACTTGTATGCTCGGGGGTGGGGGGAATAGTACCTTTATGCTAACAGTGGTTCTCAAATTGTGTACATGGCAATGTCCTTTGGAAATCATGCTTGACTTTTTGAACAAATATATTGCTTCATTTTTTTTTATTTCTTCTTCTTCTTTGGCTGTGCTGGGTTGAACCCAGGTCCTCATGCTTGCTAAGCAAGTGCTGTACCACTGAGCCACATTCCCAGACCCTGTCATTTATTATTCTTAAATAAATACATCTCACTTATTAAATTTAAATATATAATTTTATGTTAAATCAGACAAATTATCTTATTACCAAACACTAGAATGGACATATAGTGGCAGCTGTCAAAGTTCTTTTTTTTTTTTTTAAGTATGGAAGAAAACCTTTCTGGTGTCAACACTCCATTTCGCCCAATATAGTCTTTCTCCCAAATAAATCTTGTATTTTATCGTTTGCATGCCTTAATAGCATGCAGATTTATCTACTCAAAATATTCTTTCCTAATCCACTTAATTTTATTTTAAAAAAATATTTATTTTTTAGTTGTAGTTGGACACAATACCTTCATTTTATTTATTTATTTTTATGTGGTGCTGAGGATTAAACCCAGGGCCTCACACATGCTAGGTGAGTGCTCTACCGCTGAGCCACAACCTGAGCCCCTACGCCACTTTATTTTAATCCTGACCATTTATCCTTAAGATCAACCCATATCCTACCCTCCTGCATGAAACATTCTCAGACCACTATCACCCTTGATGATTCACTCCTCCCAACCCACTACAGATACAAATTAAAAAAAAAAAAAAACACGATTGGTGCATAATAATTATATAGTATAGTGGGTTTCACTATGGTATATTCAAACATGCACGTAACATAAATTGATCAAATTCTTTCCCCAGTATCTCCCCTTGTTCTTTCTTCCTCCCCTTATCTCTTTGATCTATGCTACCAGTCTTCCTTCTATTTTCATAAGATTATTTTCCCCCCTTTTGTTCTATTTTCTTTTTTTGAGGGTGGTGATGTGGTACTAGGGACTGAACTCAGGGGTACTTGGCCACTGAGCCATATCCCCAGCCCGATTTTATGTTTTATTTAGAGACAGAATCTCAATGAGTTGCTTAGCACCTCGCTGTTGCTGAGGCTGGCTTTGAATTCAAGATTCTCTTGTTTCAGCATCCTAAACTGCTGGGATTACAGGAGTGCACCACCATGCCCAGCTGTTCTATTTTCTACATAGGATAGAAAACATACGAATCTTAACTTTTTGAATCTGGTTTATTTCGCTTAACAAGATGCTCTCCAGTCCCATAAATCTTCCTGCAAATGACATAACTTTGTTCTTAAGGATGAATAAAACTCAATTGTGTATATATACCACATTTTTTCATCCATTCATCTGTTGACACTTAGTCTGGTTCCACAATTTGACTATCACTGCAGATGCAATTTGTGGTATAAGGATGCAATGCAGTATGTAGTAAAAAGCTAAGACTTTGGAGTCACACAGGTTTGGATTCTCTCGTATATTAAGTAAGATCCTAGGGAAGTTGCTTAACCTCACTAATCTTAGTCTCCATATCAATAAGAGAAAACATTGATAGCTACCCACCTTAACAGAGTTGTTTTGAGGATTAAGACAATATATGTAATATGATTATCTTCCAGCATCCCTCTAATATTACCCACATATTCTGTGATTAAATAGAAGTTCTCACAGGTGTCAATGTATAGTTGTATTCATGGCTAAGGTTTTGTTTTCCATGAAAAGATACACAGTAGGATTAGGGGAAAGACAAAAGTCTTGAGAAAAT